CGGCCGCGCGCGCCCCCCAGCGCGGCGGGTGTTCCAGGCGCTGTAATTTCATGCATGCCGGGTATTACTTTACACGCATAATTTTATGACTGTAATTTCACACCCGTTATTTTTACAAGTGTAATTTTGATATAACCACCTTTGTCATATTATGGAAGTGTAAAATCATGGGCCGGACCCATGATTTTATGCCACCGAGAAATCTGTGATGCGAGCGAAGGCGCTCCGCCAGCTGTCTGTTCGTTTTGGGGGTCACCCGCCCCATCATGCATGCCGCCGCGTACACATCCCTACTCGCTATCGGTGCGCACTACTATTGCACGCACACTTGTACACTCGTTCGTCTGACCGTACTTTCGCCTCGCACGCGCCGCGATTCTGCAAGCGTGCCAGCGGCGCCCGCTATTTTGCGTGCTATCGTTGCGAAGACACCGCCTTGAGCAGCGCCGCCCACGGCGCGGGCGGGGGCAGGGCCGTCCCTGTCGGCGCCGCCGCCCGAAGCGCCGCGGAGATCTTCCGGAGAACCGCAAGCTGCGGCGTGTCCTCCGCCGCCGGGATGACTTGCGCATCGACCGCTCGCAGCCCGAGGGAGCGGCCGACGGCAGCCGCGGCTTGCCGGCCGGTGACGACGGCCTTCTCGGTGCTCCATGACGCGTGGCCTGTGCGGTCGACCCAGTCGCCGCATGCGTACACGCCCTCGCCGAGGCGCAGCCCCGGGGAGAGAGCCGCCGAGCCGAGCGCGAAATGCGAGACCGCACGCCTCGCCCGCACGACGGCAACGTCGACGATGAGCGACGGATCCAGCGTCGCGGCGGGCACACCGAGCGCGGCGGCGGCGGCCTCCAATGCGAGGCGGGCGACAGCGTGGTCGTCGTCGACGTCCGCGATGCGCTCCGCGCGGTAAAAGTCGACCTCGAGAACCGCGAGATCGCCGGCAGCGTGCTCGTCGTGCATGCGCTGCAAGTCGTAGACGCAGAAGCCCGCCTCAGACAGCTCTGCCATCCCGCCGATCTCCGGGCCGCAGACGGTCACCGGCGAGGCTCGCATCGCCGCAGCGACCGCGGGCGGCAGCAGCGTGGATGCATGGGAGCCGCCGAGCAAGCCGGTCGTTCGCGGGGCGGGCTGCAGGTAGACGCGAACCGCTACGCACGTGACGCCGCGGAGCTCGCCAAAGCGCTGCGTCGCAGGCAGCGATGCCAGCAGCGGCGAGGACTCGCACAGCCGCGCGGCCGATGTGGCGCCGACGGCGAGCACGATGGCGTCGCAAGCGAGGGGCGTCTCGTCGCCAAGGACCTTTCCACCAGCAAGAGGCAAAGATGAGGGCGAGGGCAAGGACGGGGAGGTGGGTCGGGGGGCGGGACCTGCACGAGCAGCCCCCCGCCACCCGTAGCCGTGGCCGCCGCGCCGTCCACCGCCGCCGCGCCGTCCACCGCCCCGGCAGGGGCGATGCCGCTGACGCGAGCGCCGCCCCGCAAGACGACGTTGCCGCGCGCCTCGAGCCGCTCCTGCCACGGGCGAAAGATCCTCTCCGTGATGCCACCTAGGAAGTGTCTAGGACGTGTCTAGGAAGTGTCTAGGAAGACGGGCCAAAGCTCTTCTCCGTGATGCCACCGCGGCACCAGCGGACGTCGAAGGCACCACGCGACTGCAGCGCGAAGACGTGGAAGCACGAGAGTGCGGCGGCCGCTGAGATGTCGTAGCCGGGCCCCATGGGCAGCACGTGCAGCAGCGGCGCCACCAGCTCGTCATAGAGAGGATCGGTCACGCCGCCATAGTCCTTGAACAGAGTCTCCGCCGACACGTCGTCGTATCGCGCCCACGAGTCGGCATCCTCCTGCCGGAAGTCGGCCCAGCAAGCGAGTAGGCCGACTCCCGAGGCGCGGTCCAGCAGGCTCAACGGGGAGCGCTCAGAGAATTCTGCTAGCAGCGCGGTGTCGAGCGGCGCGGGGAGCAGGTCGGCGATCTGCTTTAGCGGGTCGGCGCCTGGCATGGACGCGCGGCGGAGCAGCTCGAGCAAGGCGTCGGGTGTCGTGGCCGCCGTCGTCGATGCTTCTGCGGTCGCCAAGACCGGCGCCACTGCAACTGGGCCATTCTTGCTGACGAGGGCGGAGGGCGTGAACGGGCCAAGGACCTCGTCGGCGTCGAGGCCAATATCATCAATCACCTTGAACGTGTTCTTGTACTCGCGCCAGAAGCCGTGGATGCCAGCCTCGACCGGTCGCCCGCCCGGCGTTCGCCAACCGCCAGCGAGGCCTCCCGCAGCACGTGGCGAGGCCTCGAGCAGCGTGACTTTGCAGGCAGGGTCGGCAGACAGCGCCTCGGCCGCCGTGTAGCCGGCCCAGCCTCCGCCGACGACGACGATATGCGGCGGTGGCGGCGACGCGGCGGCGAGGGAGAGAGGGAGCGGAAGGAGAACGTGAAGCATGGACGAGCGGACGACCGCAGCTGTGGGTGCGGTTCTGTGTGTCGCTGTTTGGCCTCCACTGCTCGCGTCATGGGGGGTTTGCGAGGTGTGAACGTGAACAGAGTAGCCAGATCGCTGTCGATCGTTACAGCACGCATGGGGGGCCTCCCGGACGTATGATCCTAGCCCAATAAGCGCCACGGAGCAGATTTGGATTTTTGACAGAATTAAATGCACTGCCCCCGCACGGTACTAACGATCGTAGTTTTGGGGGCGGCGCCCCTCACGGCACCACACTGACGCAGGACAGCCCGAGATTAGCCTAGCAGTGACTGGGAATCGCCTGCCGGTCGGCTTGGCACGAGCCAAGCACTTGGGTGGCCGTCAACCGAGTCCGAGCGGCGCCTGAGGTGGGTGCCACGGCGTCCGCACGAAGGCGTGGCGGGGTGAGGAGCCAGGGGTGGTGAACACCTCCCCGGAGGCGCGCGGCGCGCCGGATGGTCCGCCGAGGCCGCCGCCGCCCCGGCGGCGGCGATGGGGGCGGCGGCGCCGACCCGGCCGGCGTTTGTCGGCTCCACCTACAGAAGAGCAGTCTCTGTGGGTCGACGATACTAACTCGGTAGTAACGCTGAGCGGTGCTGTGCGACGCCGCGTCGTGCGCGAGGCGACCTCCTGAGGCTACCTGAGCTGGCAATGGATGCCACCAGGACACACGGCTAGCAGGAGCCAGTCGGGCATGCCCTGCTGTGGAGCAGAGCCTGCTGGCGCACCGGCGATACTAACTCAGCGCGCCGCGAGAGGCGAATCTGGGCGACTTTGGAGGCGCAGTTCTCGAGGTTGCCGTCGACGATTGATGTCGGGTAACTTGTCACTGCCGTCCGGGAAGCTCTTCTCTCAGCAGGCCGAGCGCCGTGGCATCGCGCGGCTCGCAGCGCTGTCGCGGCGCCGATCAGGAACAAAACTCACGACACCTCGATACTAACAAAGACTACGATACTGGAGGTATCGAAAAGAGAAAAAGCCGAAATCGCACCCCCCCTAGCTAGGGGTCAGGGCTCTCTAGCCCGTAGCCCGATGCCGATCATCCGGCCCGCTGGGTGCGCTTCTCAGCTCCCCGGCCCTGGATGTGAGGTTACTGACTGCACTCCAAGTGCTCCAAGTGGTCGCCGTCACTTTCCTGCCTCGAAAGGGCGGGGCTGTCCCGGAAAGTGAGAAACGCCGGGCAGCGTGGCGCACAACTGAACCCTCCCATACGTGTTTGGGCTCCTCCTTTGCTGTCCCATCTCCTCATCTCTTTCCCGCCTGGGCGGGGCAGCGGGCGGACGCGCGGTGCGGTGCGGCGTGTGCGTGTGTGCGACTGCGACAGAGGACCGCTCGAAAGGGACCATTGGGCTTGTATTATTAACAACGAAGGCGCTCTCAAAGAGAAAAATGACTTGTTTCAAGGGTTGAGTGTGTGTGTGTGAGGTTGTGGCGGCTTCGATCCCAAGGGGGGGAGCTGATCCCACTCAGTAACCAACTCTCAGGGGCAGTAGGTGGGCGAGCCTAGAGCGCGCTCATCTCGATCGTCAAGGCGTCGCTACGCGCGGTCTTCCGCGTGCGCGGACGACCCCCACCTCTTTAACGACTTTGAGCCGGTGCAGGGCTGCGTCGAGCTCTGTGAGCAGCTTCCGGCCTGCATGTTCGTCTCGCTGTGGAATGGCGGCTGGTGTCGCCTCACGCCATCTTGCTCGAAGTTGCGCGACACTGGCAATAAGGCCAAAGTCACTGTGAACGCTTGCACAGCGTCACCGCCACCGCCGCAACCTCCGCCCTCTCCTCCCCTACCTCCACAACCACCCCCACTGCCCTCCTCCCCTCCGCCATCGCCGCCCCCGCCCCCACTCCCTTCCTCCCCTCCGCCGCCCCCGCAACCGCCACCCGTGCCTTCCTCCCCCCCACCTACTCCACCCCCGCCCACTCCACCGCCGCCTGCTCCGCCCCCGCCGCCATCGCCTCCGCTACCCCCATTCCCACCGCCCCCACCCCCACCGCCACCGCTGCCTCCCTCCGTCCCACCCTCGCCACCAACTCCACCGCTGCCCTCATCCCCACCGCCCCCACCGCCACCCCCACCGCTGCCTCCTTCTGCTCCGCCCTTGCCCCCACCGCTATCACCACCTTCCGGGCCGCCAGTCTTCTTCGACTGGTATGCGCCGCTCAAGAACGGCATCAACCTCGATGTGGCGACGCCGAACAGCGGCGCCTGGTTCACATGGCAGTACGATAAGTCGCAAATGCAGGCAATCGCAGAGGCGGGCTTCGAGTCGGTGCGCATCTTCATGCCCTTTTCATCAAAGATGGAGGAGAAGCAAAAGCAGATCGAGGACGCGCTGGACGCCGGGCTTTCCATTGTCGTGTGCATGTGGGGCGAATGGGGCTGGTCGTGGAACGTGGAACAAGGCGTCTCCGAGATCTCCAACGGACGGCGCAATCGCGGTGAAGGCTGGGGTGCGCTGGCCCGCGCATGGAAGGTGTACCCTCAGACCGGCGCGCGGTACAACACCATCGACGTACCTGCCGCAGCACCACCATCGACCCACACTGAACCCGCGCACCCTGCATGCGCAGGGCTTCTCCAAACGATTGGTTTTCGAGGTACTCAACGAGCCCAAAGCCATTGGCTTCCCCACGACCAGCACGGGCAACGCCAACGCGATGCGGCTATGCAATGCGGCGGTGCAGGCAATCCGCAGCGCTGACCCAGACCGCCCGATTCTGGTCGGCAGCCCTGGGCTTAACGACGCCGAGTTCCTCGAGTACGTGACGATACAGTTCCTCCCGTACACCTTTGGCAGTGGCGGCAGCTTCTACAACGACCCGAATGTGGGCGTGGCGTTCCACTTTTACGAGCCGAGGCACCCATCGATAGTCCCCGGCCTTCCCACAGAGCAGCAGACCACCTTCGCGATGTGGGACGGCGACCTCATCCTCGATGGCCCGGAAACGGAGTGGCGGGATGGGCTCAAGGTGTGGCAGGCGCCGATCAAGTTGCAGTTCGACTTTGTGGACGCCTGGCGCAATCGGAGCGGCCACGGTGACATCCCCGTCGTGACCACCGAGTGGGGCTGCTGGATGTTTGAGAGCCGGAGCAAGGGCGGCGACCTCCGCGTGTGGCTAGACTATACGTACGGGCTGTTCAACGAGCACGACGTTGGCCAGATGTGGTACGTGGGAGTCATGTCCAACCAGTACGCCTACACCATCTTCGACTCGGAGACCGGCTGGGACGCGACCGTGCTCCCCAAGCTGACCGGCAAGCAGCCGCCGACGAGCTGGCCGCACATCAACCAGGTGCTCAACGGAGAATTCCTGAGCCATTCGTCCGATGTGACGAAGGTGCACCCGTGGGTCTCGGCTGGTGTCAGGAAGAAGGCGGTTTGGTGTGAAATTGCCTTTGGCTCCAGCTGCGCGACGGCCGGGTACAGCGGCGACACCGTCCTCGAGCTGACGGGCAAGGGCGGCTCGCTGTCGATCGAGACGTACGCTGCTTCCAACAGCGTGTCGGGAAACGCCATCGATTGGGGCATCTACGGCCCGCCGGATAGGACCCTGCTGCACCTCATTCAGGGCGTCTTCTACAGCCTCCGCTTCATCGCCGGCTCCAAAGCGGGATCGCAAGGGGTCGTGCGTGCGCGGCTTATGCAGGCGGGAGGCCGCACCATGATCCACCAGTTCGCCGCGATCACAGTCTCGGATCCACCCACGGCCAGCGAGTTGACCTACATGCACGGCGCTGCCGACGCTATGGACGTACGGCTCGAGTTCGACTTTGGAGACCTTTTCCAGGTCGTCTACCTCGACAAGGTTGAGCTCGTTCGGCGCTTTCCGCCGCCGCCCGCGCCGCCTTCTTTGCCCCCGCCTCCGTCACCGAAGCCTTCACCCCCGACGTCTCCACCTAGTCCGCCACCGCCACCGCCCTCACCGCCACCACCCTCGTCGCCTCCTCCGCCGCCGCCGAGCCCACCTCCGCCGCCGCCGCCACCGTCCCCACCGCCACCGACGCAGCCGCCACCGACGCCGCCACCACCGTCTCCACCGCCGCCACCGTCTCTGCCGCCACGCTCGCCGCCTTCGCCCACGCCGCCGCCGGCTCTGCTCCCTGCCCCACCTCTGCCGACGCTGCCGCCACCCCATCACAGTGTTTGAAAAGAAGTTGATCATAGGTTGGTGAGATGGTGGTGTGCGCAGTGCGGCGAGACCGGCGAGCGGTGTCGCCGAGCGGTGTCGCGCGGCCGAGGGACCGCGTGGAGGCGAGGCTAGCGGGATGGGGTACCAGA